CTTAGATATCTTTTCTTTCTCTTCAGGTGTACTCTGGTCATTGATCACAAGTTTGGTTTCATGTAGTACCATGTCAAGATCAACAATCCCTAATGAAAAATCTAAGTCTTTATTCCATTTATTAAAATTAGACCCATTCAGGATCTCAATAGAAGCAAAACAATTGTTCATATAGAATATCATTGTTGAGACAAAACAAGAATGCATTAATAAACATAAGCTATCATAAAGAGGCCAACATTATCACGCAATTCTCATTGGGTGGAATGCGCAAAACTCAGGTTACAACCAAGGTCAAAACCTCATATGAGTTACTCAATGAACATACATTGAGTTTGAAAATCTATCTCTTTTGGGTAGATAAATTCTCTAAACCATAACACGACTCACCGGCCGTTCAACACTTTTGCAGAATTATTATAGTAGCGTTATGTCGCTGAAAATAGTTTAGAGAAGATCTAGATCGAAAATGATCAAGCAAGCAAGCTTCATAGAATTTCTGGTTGACTTAATCAACAATTGAAGCCTAATGGATTTATGTCTAAAGGGAAACAAGTCTAATGGGCAAGACCAGTATAACCTCGTAATGCAATAACTATAAGAAGTTTCACTTTGGGGCATGCAATATGGGAATGTGGAAATGTTACCGCTGTCAAGGGATGGGTCAGACATCAAAGGATTGTCCAAATCAAGGAGCATCAGAAAGAAGATTAGGTGGAACAGGTAGATTTTACACCTTTGATGCCAAGAAAGCTAAAGGTAACAACAACTTGATAGCTGGTACGTGTTATATGCATGTCCAACCTCTATTTCTTCTTTTTTTTTTTATTGTAGAGCATCATACTCCTTCATTTCAACCAAGTGTGTGAAAAGACTTGGATTAGAAGCGATCCCATCATCGTCTTCGATGGTAGTCACCACAATAATGGATAGTAATATAAAAACTTAATGGGTGTGTGAGAATTGTCTAATATTTATGAATGATCGTATTTTCTTGATTGACCTGATATGCATACCTTTCAAGGCAATAAATACAGTGTTTGGATTGCATTGGCTCACCGTTAATTCTGTATACATTGGCTGTAAGGAGAAGCCTATTTTCATACCCATCGAAGCAACTATCCCATATGACGTAATATAAGGCTTTTCTTTTGATTCTCATTATGGATTCAGACGAGATCAATTAGCATGATCAATTATCTTTATGAACAATATAAGGTTTTTCTTTTGATTCTCATTATGGATTCAAACGAGAAAACAAATACATCTTTAGTTTCAGTAGTGTGTGAATTTCCCGATGTGTTTTCGAAGGATGTCACTTGCTTACCTCCTAAAAGAGAAATAGAATTCTCGATAAACATAGTTTTGGGAACTACCTCACTTTCTATTGCACCATATCGTATGTCTCCAGTGGAGTTAAGAGAGTTCGAAAATCAATTAGAAGAGTTGTTGGAAAAATATTTCATTTGACCAAGTGTGTCTCCGCGGGGTGCTCCTTTCTTGTTAGCAAAAAAGAAATATGGTGGTATGCAATTATGCATTGATTACTGCCAACTTAACAGAGTCACTATTAAGAATAAGTATTCATTGCTTTAGATGATAACCTCTTATATTAATTGAAAGAGGGTAATGTTTTCTCGAAGATTGATCTACAACCAGGGTATCATCAGATTCAAGTAAAGAGTTCCGACACAACAAATATCGCATTTAAGACCCGGTATGGATATTATGAGTTCCTTGCAATGCCTTTTGGATTGACAAATGCTCTAGCTATTTTTATAGGCTACATGATCTAAGTGTTCAAGTCCTACATGGATCAGTTTGTTGTGATCTTCATGTATGATATCCTGATTTACTTTCATACTCCATAACAGTACAAAAAGCATTTGAGGATTATACTTTCTGTTTTGCGGGAAAATAAACTTTTCGCAAAATTTGGCAAGTGTGAGTTTAGGATGTCGGAGGTTAAATTCCTCAGGCATGTGATTTCTCAAGGAGTTGTGGTGGTAGACCCTTCGAAAGTGGAAACAATGATTAATTGGGAAAGACATAAGAATGCATATGAAGTTAGAAACCTCTTGGCATTAGCTAGTTATTATCGAAGATTCATCATGTGATTTCTGTAAATTCACATTGCCTTTGACTAGGCTCACAAGCAAGGAAGTCCCACTCAATTGAAATTCAGACTGCAAACGAAGTTTTTGAAAATTAAAAGAAAAATTAACCACCTATTATGTTCTTATTATTCATGACCCTACTTAAAAAGTATGAAGTATTTTGTGATGCACCGAAGAAGGGTTTAAGATGTGTTATGATGCAGAATGACCAAGTGGTGGCTTATGCTTCATGTCAACTAAAGATCATGAAGAGAGTTACCTGACGCAGGAATAATATTAGTAGGCAAGGTTATCAGACTCACGAGTCTACTCAGACTCGTAAAGGGTTTGTAGATTCAACTCGCAGACTCTACGAGTCTATGAAAAATTAAAAATAACTTCTAAAAACCTGTAAGTGACACATATATGACATATTCATATATTTATAAATTTGGAAATACCTCATATATGACACAAATATATATATATATATATATATATATATATATATATATATATATATATATATATATATATATATATATATATATATATATATATATATATATATATATATATATATATATATATATATATATATATATATATATACACAAAAAAAATAAAATAAAATAAAATAAAAATTAACATACAAATTTTAATTTAATACTCCATAAAAAAACTCGGACAAACAAAATAACAAAGTATGTTGTTAAATACTTAAAGTATTAATTAATTCTTAATTGAATACTACATAAAGAAAAAACACATAAAATAGATATTCTAATGACTTCAAACATCCTTACAACACGTGAACACGCAGGTTCTTTATAATTATTATTAATAATTAATTAGTAAAAACTATAAAAAAAATCACGTGAGCAATGCATTATTGCAAGACAGACAATAATTTGTTCTATCGTAAATCATAAATCTTTTAAACCATTTTGTCATGTGCAAATTGATACATGGGGATTGGTGATCAGCGAATCTGATTGAAATGAAATGGTGCATCGTCTTTACATAAGAGAATATAACACAAAAGAACATACAAGGGAACATAAAAGAGAAGTATCCAAGTGAAACATATAATATAATACTTACACAACGAATGATTGATTTATGTAAACGAACGTGAACACAACAAGAGACGGAAAAATGCAACCACGCCAAGGATGAAGGGAGGAAGGAACTGTGCTATAAGAAGTGACTTGGAGAAAGATGTTTATAATTTTCATACAAGCAATAAATAAGTTTTTTATTTTAAAATATCCTTTTTGGGAATTTGGGCCTTTTTTGACCTTTTTCAAAATAAAATTTAGAAAAACTTATAAACTTGTAAACTTGCCATAGACTCGTGAGTCTATGCAAGTTTGTGCGAGTCTACCCGAGTTTACTTGAGTCTATTAAAAAAAAGATTTTATACACGAGTCTACTCGTTTTTTCTTCCTAGACTCGTAAAATCGTACGACTTTACGAGTCTACCCGCAGGTTTGACAACCATGTTAATAGGTAGTGGACGTTCATGATGCTAACTGTCTCTTGAATTCAACATGACTTGTGGAACAAGTGTATCAATATTCACATATCATATGAAGTTGAATGAACTTCACCCCCTTTTATTATGTTATATGATACATGAACGTAACCCTAATCAAATTGAATTAGTGCTAGAAATCTATTGGCATAGTGGGCTTATGGTTTAGTAAGACTCCTCTGAGATAGTAATATATCACCCTGCTATTGTTGTATATTTTTCAAATAAGCAGGCTTCCGCCAAAGAAAAAGATAAGATTTCTTGAAGAGTTAAAGACCTTGTGATCTGTGTTGTTTCCGTTCTGTACTGTTACTCTTAGTATTGTAGCATACATGTCGTATATGTATACACACTGTGTTATATCTCTGTGCTTAACATGTATTGTATGTCATTTAGACACTATTGTATGTTCTAGTACCAATGTATAACATTTCAAATATGATAATTTTAAACATATTTTATCCAAGGTGTTACACCATTAAGGCAACTTCAATACTAAAATATTTTAAAGTCTTTTGGATGAAGGAGTGGTTGATCTCAAATCTCCTTGTACTTAACTATCTTAGAGAGGACATACACCCGGGTGTTTTGTTCTCTTAGTAAGTGCGCGACCTCAAACATTTGAAATTTTACTAGCTTTTCTCCGACCATCGTCACATACCATTGCAACAATGGTTCTCTGATTCGAGCTTCCCATATGATAAGAGAGTGCAAGTTGAGAATTCGTCCTTAACTTAACGTTCTCTCCTCCCATTTCTATCGCTAGTATAAGCCCCGCAATAAATGCTTCGCGATCAACCTAGTTATTGGTGGCAAAGAATTCGAAGCATAGAGAGATACTTCAATCATCAAGACAACTTCGTTTTTAAGAATCAAGTCAACTCCACTCCACTTTCTCGATTGTTGGTCGACTCCACTTTCCATCCGCTAGTAAATACAATTCATACATGTGTCGACTCTGACGATCTGAATCATTCTAATTATGAAATATACAAATAATAATAATAATAATAATAATAATAATAATAATAATAATAATAATAATAATAGTTTTTTTTAAAGCTTTCCTTTACCCAAATAATCTCTTAAAATCATAATTCAATTTTGATACTACCTTATAGTCTTTTGAATGTTATGGCATTACCCTTAATTTACCATTAATTTACAAAAATTTACATTATCATTCCTTAAACAAAAGCAGTGACAGAACGATCAGCTGTATCACCACCGCATCACACTCTCACTACCTGATTGATTGATTGATGCCACTATCTCTTTTCTGATTATCAATTAAATTTTAATTTTGGAATAACCTGCGACTCTTCGAATTATCCGAGGCCACTCCTTTTATATGGTCGCTGCTCAAAATGGCTTCTTCCCTTTTCACAAAGATTCTTTTAGCTCCTCGCTCGATTCACACTTCCTCCTTATTCACTCACCACCCACCAATTCTCTCTTCTCTCTTCAATGTAAGAATCGCTTTTCCTCTCTCAATTTTCATCTGGGTATCAATTTCTTGTATGGGTTTTTGTTTCTGTCTGTAAACTTTTGATTTTTAAGTTTGGGAATTGAAATTTTCTGTTGGGTCACTTATGAATTGTTAATTTCATGAAACCCAATTCTTTGAATTGATTTTACGAGTGAATCGTTGTGAAAAAGACTAATTTTATTTTGCAGTCTATACTCTTTAACATGTTCCTTTGTTTTGCTGTTTGGTCTTTGTTTGTTCTTTTTGGCAGAAGCAACTGTTCTCTGTTCGAGCTGTTCCAACCTTTACAGCCCAAACCACTAGGTTGACTGGTTGGGCTCCTTGTATGGCTTCTTCAATAGTTAGTAGAAGAGCTACATATTCAACACGATCTGCGCCTACAAGTGAGCCTGTTGTTTCTGTAGATTGGCTTTATGAAAACTTGAAGGAGCCTGATATTAAGGTACTTAGAGAATTGATTTTATTGGTACCTAAATTGCACCCTTGCGTATTTTAGAAATGGAAAAAAATGCTAATACTTATGTTGTCTATTCCATGCAGGTGGTGGATGCATCCTGGTACATGCCGGATGAGCAAAGGAATCCAATTCAAGAGTATCAGGTAATTGACATTTTGATGGTATATGTATATGCTATATGTTAAGAGTTCCACAACCGACGATATATGGCCCGGAAATGTGCTTGTAAGTGGGGCAATTCTCACCCTACAAACCGGTTTTGTAGTGATGAGCTAGGCCAAACTCTAATAGTATGACTTCAATTCGTTCTCTTACATGTACTTCGTTTGTATGTTTTTAACATTTTTATGTACCATTTTTCATTGATGGGCTTTTTGTGTAACACCATGTGCAACAGGTTGCTCATATTCCTGGGGCTCTTTTCTTTGACATAGATGGAATAGCAGATCGCACTACAAATGTGAGCTTATCTCCATTTTAATCTTTTTGATAGTTTTTTTTATATAGCTTTATTGATGTAACAGTTCTTGTATCTGAATCTCGCAGTGATCTTCTTATCAATCACTACTATTTATAAATGTTGTGATGTCTTTTGTGAGCACTCTTAATGGTTTTGTGATTATTTTATAGATTGTTCTTGGTTGTTAGTGCGTTTATTCTGTCAACGATATTTGCAATTTCTATTGTTTTTCGCTGCTATTCATTTTTCTTATATAGCTAATATGTGAAATCTGGCTTTTATTCTTGATCAGTTGCCGCACATGTTGCCATCAGAGGAAGCGTTTGCCGCTGCTGTTTCTGCTCTTGGCATACAGAACAAAGATGATCTAGTTGTTTATGACGGAAAAGGACTATTTAGTGCAGCTCGTGTTTGGTGGTAAGCCATGGTGTGATGTAAAAACAATATATAATAAGTGGTCTTGTAATCTTATGAAATTTTCTATGTAGTTTCATTAATACCTTTACCCTTATTTCAATGATTAAAAGGATGTTCCGAGTGTTTGGGCATGATAGAATTTGGGTATTAGACGGTGGCCTGCCAAGATGGCGTGCATCTGGTTACGACGTTGAATCTAGTGCTTCGAGTGATGCTATTCTTAAAGCCAGTGCTGCAAGTGAGGCAATAGAGAAAGTATATCAGGGACAAGCAGTGAGTTTGGGATTCTATTTTATTTGGAGTTGAATTTGACATTTGACAATTTTATTCTAATAAATTGCATCTTCCATATACATTTTTTATTTTCAGGTTGGTCCAATCACATTTGAGACTAAATTTCAGCCACATCTTGTATGGACCCTTGAACAGGTTGGTTTAATTATTTGTGCTACTTCAAATGTAAATTTTGAATGCGTTTGTTGCTTGCTGAAAGAAGTAACTGCATTGCATTGTGATAGGAGAAGTTCCATCTCAGTCACGTGGCTGTTGATGATTATCGATGAATATTACTTTTTCTTTGTTTCTTTTTCATAACAGGTAACAAAAAATATAGAGGAAAAATCTCACCAACAGGTAGATGCTCGATCAAAGCCCAGGTAATGTACATTTCCTCTTAGTTGTGTATGCTTTCACATCACATATGATTTGCATGTAACAGTTATCGATCTGGTAATGACATGTTTATATGGTGGATTTTTGGCTGACCGCCGTAGCTTGCCATCTGCAATTAATGATGCGACTTTGCCATTGATAACGGGTCCTAAAAAATACCCAAAATTGAAAGACATGTTCAGTTGGTTCTCAAAAGTAATAATCTAAACATGTAGTCACCAGCAATCTAAGGCATAAACAACAAGGCAATGGCGACAAATTTGCAACATTAGTGAACTAAGAAAAAAAGTTGGTTTAATGGTGCAAACATTTTAAAAAATAAATGACAAATGAGTTATTCAATTTGGTACACAATTTGATTCTTGGATTTATGAAGTTTTTATCCTTTGACAGGTTTGATGGAATTGCACCAGAGCCCAGAAAGGGAATCAGAAGCGGTCATGTACCTGGCAGCAAATGCGTTCCTTTTCCCCAGGTATACAACATATGGGATCATGTCTATCATCAATAAATATCATACAATCTTATCTCAATTCTGATCCCGTCGTACTATACTTGTCGATATTGTTATTATTAAGAAATTTTCGGTATATTGTTACATTATAATTTTGAGAGTATTTAATCAATGCGAAATGTTTTTGACCTGCAGATTTTAGATAGTTCACAAGCATTGTTACCAGCAGACGAGCTTAAGAAGCGATTTGAACAAGAAGGTTTGAACACCTTTCAAAGTATTTTAATATTACCGAAATCATTTTCTTCTCAAATTCTACTGTCACAAATTCTCATTATTCTTCAGGCATCTCTTTGGAAAAGCCGGTTGTGACTTCGTGTGGAACTGGAGTAACTGCATGCATTCTTGCATTGGTATTGCTATATCTCTTCTCAAATCTTTTCCATGGAAATATCTTTTTGATGCATTTTGATTTTGATTTTCTTGGTTACAGGGTCTTCATCGTCTTGGAAAGACGGATGTTCCGGTTTACGACGGATCATGGACCGAATGGGGATCAAATTCTGATACTCCTGTCGACTCCGCCGCACAAACACAATAGAATCACCAAAAGGATTTGCATGGCAAAAGGCTGTACCTAGTTTCCAAACATTTTGAGTTTATCTCTGCATCTTTGCTTTAAAAATAATGCAGGATTGTTTGATAAATGTACTGAGGTTTATGTTTAGTTCTTGTCACATGAATAAAATCAATATAAAAGGATGCTACTAAAAAAAATGATAAAAGGAAAATATAATGTTTAATGTACTTGGTGGAGAAAGTTTTTTATTTGGGAAATTTTACTTTAATTTTGCAAATTAAACTGTATTTTGTATTATTTATAAGTATAACGAGTCATTGCCACATCTCTTATTAAAAAGAGAAGTTCAAATTAAAAAAATCAATGGTCATCTTAATTGATTGTAAGAAAATATTCTTAATCTTAATTGATAAAAATTTCTCAATTTTTTATTAAAAAAATAATGTGTGTTGCTTTCAGGTCTACTTGTAACTGAAGTGTATTAACCCATATCTTTAGGGAAAAAGATGTAACTCCATTATACAGTTACTATAAATTGATTAAGTCTTGATTTAAACAAAAGTTGATTTGGTCCATTTCACATTTGATTTGTTCGCATCCACTCTCCTAAATGTTAGGAATATTGGATTAAATAATTAGGGTTAGGATAAATATAAGACACTTTATATAAGATTTTGCTATTTAAATTGTAAAAATTTAAAATATGACATTTGTATCAACATGTTTAAGGGTTTTTCAAAGAATATGCAATGTTGATGAATGAAATAAAATAACCATACAAATAATTATAAAAAATAATCAAGAAGGTAAAATAAATAAATAAATGATTCCTCTTACAAGCAAAATAATAAATGAACAAACAAAACTTTAATCTAAACTATAGCTAATGAGAAAAGAGCTATATTCAACTAACCTAAAAAAAAAAAATGAAACAAGTCTCAAAAATGGTGAAAACAACCCATAGAAAGTAAAATTATTCTTGTTTTAGTTTCTTGTCATTCTCATGATCAATCTCCCTTCCAACAAGTTGTTTAAGACCCTGCAAGATGGAAGGTTTTGACCTAACATCAACATTGTTGGCCAATGTTGTGACAATCTCTTTTGGAATAAAGCACTTTTCTTCTGAATACAACTTCTCTTGAACAAAAGGAGAAACAACTAGTTTGTGTAAATCTTCACTTGGAGGTGGTTCCTTTTCTTCCTGAAACAAAACAGTTGAGATTGAAACTTAAGTAATTAACTTAAATTATAAGCTCTAATAACAATCTAAAAACAAAAAGCAGTTATTATTATTATTATTACCTTGCTAAAAGTTTCCATAACCTGAAGCATTCCAACTTGAGCTTGAAGAAACCTAACATAGTTAGCAGCAGCATTAAGCATCTCAGCAGTGTTCATCTTAGGCCCACCAGGAACCAACTTCCCAAGCTCTTGCGTCTTCTCAGTTATCTTCCTTCTTCTTTCTCTCGCCGCAACACTCTGCGTCGAGATACTCCTTTCGCTAACCTTTTTCTCACATTGCACATTCTCACATTGCACAACATTAACCATCTTCGAACCCGAAAACGGTTCCGCTTCAAAGGAAGTAGTAAAAGGGTTCGCTATAAACTCATCCCCAAAATAATTGGCAAAATGTTGTTGCTGCTGTTGCTGTTGGTTTGTTTCTTCATAACCTAGCTTTTGCCGTTTCGCACATGGAACATCATAGTTATTGAAATTTTCATCATTTGGGAAAATCTCATTCATTGAAACAAAGCCATCGTTTTGATCACAAGAGAAAGTTGAGTCAATGATTAGTTGATCTTCACAGGGATAAGTCTCGTTTGAGCAAAAATAAGGACTCGGAAAGAACAAGGTTTCGTCTAGAAAAGAAGACGAAAAGTCGTAGTTTTGTTGCGAAAGTTCAAACAGTTGTTGTTCTGGTTCATGATGTTGGAAAGTGATGGTTTCTGAGTTGTTTTCTATAGTTTGAAGAGTTTGAGAAGGATAAGAATTATTATAGTTGTATTCTGTACTAAGGAATCCCATGATAAAAAAAACACAGGAGAATGTTTGTTTAGACAACAAGTACGAGAATGTTTGTTTAGACACAAGTACGAGAATGTTTGTTTAGACAATGTAAGAAAGAGACAAAAGAGTGTACTATGTTGTAGATATATATTATGTGAGAATGGTTTTAGAGAGATTGAAGGAAGAAAAAGACTTGAGAGAGAAAAGAGAAAAAGAAGAACAAAAAACTAACAAGAGCTATTATATAATAATAATAATAATAATAATAAAAAACTGAATTCAACTTCACTGTTTCATGCTCAGATTTTTCAGGGAAAGTTGAGGCAGTTACACAAAACATTTTGAGCAAAACTGATTTATTTTTGCTTTAAAAATATAATAACTGTACCAAGCTTGTGGTTTTAGTTCCTGTCATATATGAAATAAAATCAATGTTAAAAAAATAAAAATAATATGATAAAAGGAAAATATAATGTTTAATCATTAATGTACTTGTGGAGAAACTTATTTGGGATTTTTTTTTTTAATTTTACAAATTAAAGTTTTATTTATGGTTCTAAAAGAATAATTAAAATAACCTTTTAATTGGTTTTAAAAGAATATTTTTTTTATGGTTGAATTTTTCAATTTTTTAATTGAAAAAAATAATGTTTCTTACATGTAACTGAAATGCATTTCTCCATTTTTTAAGGAAAAAAATCGATTCCATTATACAGTTATTAAAAGTTGATTAGGTCTTGATTAAAAAAACGAGTTGATTTGGTCCATTTTTCAGCTAAATTTTAGGAGTATTGGATTAGAATAATTAGGGTTGGATAACTTGAATAAAACACATAAGATATTCATAATAGATATTAATTATGTTTTGAATTTTTTTTTTTAATTTTTGGGTTTATGGTTTAATAATAAAATAGTCATTTTTAATATTTTTTTTTATCTTAGTACACTAACAAATTATCTAAGGGCATCCGATAACATTTCCTTACAATTTTAATAAATGATTGAATTTTAGTTTAAATATTATTTTACATATATTTTTAATGTAAAGTTATTTATTATATTAATGTACTCAATTTATTTAATTTTTAATAATTGATAATATAATTAATTGATTTAATAATTATTCAGACATCCTTATTTTTACAAAACTTTGTAATTCAAATTGTAAAAATTGAAAAATATAAAACATATTTTATTATAAAAGAAGGCTTAAAGAAAAAAAAAACAAGAAAAAAGATTAAGAGAATCTAACAAATCTAGGTAAATAGGTTATAGACATATCATCACCCAATGTACAAGGAGTTTATTGACCTCATGTGTCTGAATGACCATTTCATAATCTTATTAACCGTTTTCTTAACCCTTCTCTCATTGACCATTTCCTTGTTTTATTAACCATTTTCTTAATCCATATTCCTTTTTTTATATTAACAATTCCTAATATTTGAGTAAAAAAAAAACATTTCTAGATATTTTTATAAAATAAAAGTAGTACAAGAAAAAAATCAATGTAAAAAGACAATAGTTAGTCATAGATTATACAAATAAAATGTTAAACTAACCAAATCAACAATAACATTAATATTTTCTTAGATATTTTATTTTTACAAATCTATTTTAGATATTTTACAATAATAATACATGATATAAGACTATACACGACTTTTAAAAATTAGAGTCAAACTTTTATGACCTTAAAATTAAAGGATTAAATTTTAAAATTTGTTTTTAGTGAAATCAGAATTAATCAAAAAATAGGTGATTGCGATGAACTATATGGTGAACCTGAGCTTCAGGTACGAAGGAGGAGGAACTCACATGTATAGTTATCACTTCAACGCTCAAGTTAATGGGAAAAGAGTGGATGGATTTTGAATTTGAAAATGTGTACATAGAATTGAAATGTGTGCTATTTATAAAGGGAGCGGTTATAACAACCCGCAATTTTTAAGGCGTGAAATTTGGAGAGCGGTTGGATGTATCTTGGTTAGGGATCACTTGCATTCTTTCATAAGATAGTTTTTATGCGCTACGAACCATTTGAACGGATTATGATTCCCTTTAGGGTGGTCTGTCGGTGGGTGCTCTGGTTGGCTCAGAACAGTTGCCCTCAAGCCCTTGTCACTGTATGACAGTGCAAGGGTTTGTCGTATTTGTCTCGTTCGTGGATAACTTTTTTTAGCTTGAATGGAAAACTAAGAAAAGGCATTACTATCGTCTACTCAGGCGTCTCTTTCTATGATTCAAAGATATCTATAAGTTTTGTGTCTCGAAAATTCTTTCTTGGCTCAATGTTTAACTGAGTGCTCCACTGTTAGCCTTGCGACTGCTTTAGAGTCCTTTAAAAATGCTTTGTAGCAAGTGGAACATTTTCACCATTCTTCGTGTATTTTAAGGGTGCAGTTTCGACCAAACTAGATGCTCAAAGATGGAAAGGTCGTCTCCCTTTGACACTAACATTTTTTTTTTGTTACAACGTATGATGTAAAGTATAATTGAAATGAAATAGATATGGTGTTATTTTTCATTTAAGGTATACATGTTTGATTCCGAGTACATTGCTTTGGGCTCCTTATGAACTTGCGAGGTCTTGATTTGAATTTTATTGGACATCCCTAGGGCCGTATTTGGCCAAGGGTCGGTACTCTTTTCCCTTAGATGAAAACCTAATATGAGGTTGACATATGGAAAACCCACAGTGGCCTATAGAGTGGCTAGATATCAAAATAGTGTGTACCGTTATTGCCGTTTTAGTGGTTTGGACAATTTCTTTGCGTGTGTGCTTTGCATTGTGGGGGATTTGATTGTTGTGGTTGCATGTACGTGACATTTGCGACAAAAACCCTAAGTCTGTGTTGGGATTTGATCCTTCTGGTCATACCGCGGATTCGTTGTTACCTTACACAACCACAAAGAACATATATATTTTAGAATTTGTAATTTCTTCATTAACAATTGGCAGTTCATTGTAGAGTTATGAGGAAATTGATTATCCTAAAAATAACATCAAATGAAAATTTGAAGCCATAACTAAATTAATTATCCAACAAATAAGATCAAATGCAAATTTGAAAATATAACCAGGTGGACTAGTCACCGCTTATTCTTGTTGCCTTCTATCTCGCCGGGTTAGCCACTTCTGGTAGGTCGGATGTTCATGCTCTCGAGCTATCCGATTAGGTACACTACATTGATTTTCATGGCCTTGTTCTCTCTTTGGTTTTGATGGAGTGCTTGATATATACTTTTAGCTTCTTCAAGATCATAATTGACCATGACTGACTCGCCATGAAGGTTGTGAAATTTAAGCTTGAGGTGGACTGGTGAGGCCATGACGTCTAGAGTAGCTGCGAAGGAACTGCGAGCTTACCATTCCAAAATCCCTTACCTCTCCTATAGATATCATCAACTTTACATACCCCCACAGGCGGGTCGTCGTGCCCTTAAACACCTGCAAATCCGACCCCTCATACAACCACAAATTTCCCCTCTCAAGGTTCATCTTCTTGAAAAGTTCAGAGTGCATTATATCACATGAGCTCCCACCATTGATCAGAATTCGAGAGACTTCAAAATTACCAATTGTAGGCATTATGCATAAATGAAAGCTTTCATTTGGGGTTCCCCCAATTTTCTCGTAGTCTTAGAATTCGAGCATTGGCCTGTCAGGGATTTTGATTGACAAGCCTCTATACTTCTTATAGGCGGCCAACATTTTAGTAATTTTCCTATTCATCATCACCTTGGATGGGATATTCGCCCAAGACACTCCTTTGGTGATAATGTATTTGCGCTTTCCCTTGCTAGCTCCCTTATCCTCACTACTGGTCTCTCCTCCACTAGTCATAACTTCCACAACCTTCGAGGGGGACTTACTCTTAGGTGACTCTTTTCACTATCTCTTTTGCCACCCTTGACATATTCTAACAAACAACCTTTTTTTTATCCATCCCTCAATGGTATCTTTCAATTGGATGCAATCATCGGTGTTGTGACTATGGCCCTTGTGGAAACAACATTACTTTGTCTTGTTCGTTCGAGTTGACTGTTAGATAATGCTTCAATGTCGAATGGATCCAGACTGAATCGTGAACGAAATCACTTTCCTTAAAAGTATTTCAAGCACACTCTCAAATTGTCTTAGAGTTGGAACAGCCTGAATACCCAGGATAAGTCAACCTTTTTCTCGAAACTGCACAAGACTGGTGAAGTTTCGAATGCAAGGAAAACGTTTGGAATTATATAGAAGAGGATATCAGATTTTTGGAGTATTTGATTTCGAAGTATCAAGCATATATTTATAGCCATGCATGTGTCGTTTCGGAAGTTTGCAACTCTTCATAAACAATACTCTCTAATGAGCATTTGCAATGGTTCAAATAAAATGTCATGCACCACTTCATGAAGTGTCATATATTTCGAATTCAAATTCAAAAATCAAACTCTAGGTAACGAATAAAATCTGGAGCGATAATTAAAACAAATTCGCAGTATACCGGCCGAAGGCCGGTCCGCCCGCCGGAGGCGGCCGGAGCGCCACCGGCGTCGCCTCATTAACGCCGCGAATATCCCGATTGCTCTGATGTGTCGTGCCTAAGTGCTCAAGTGCCGTCTACAAGCCGCCACTAGCGCCTCTACGCCCACGCCCTCGGATCCGGTTCCGGAGCCAGAGCCGGTGTCGCCGGTGGCGACACCGGCGAGGGGTGTTTTGTATGAGACAAGTGACATAAGTCTTGGCACCACCACATATGACTATGTGACACTTTATCCTCTTTGGCTCCTTTGGAAAGTACATTGTTCCAAGGGCCTTATAAATGCTATTTAATTTTACTCCACTTCCAATGTGGGACTAAGCATTTATTGTCAATTAACTATATCACCCACTTTGTCATTTTGGAACAACTTTAATGGAAATAAATCTTTATTATTTCCAACAATCCCCTACTTGTTCTAATAATGACAAAATAATAATTCCAGAAATGAGACATGAGAAGTATTAATACAGTTAAGTATCTTTC